TCGCTAGCGTCCCCGCAGGCGCGATCAATAGCACGCTCCTCCCTGCTCCGCCGTCGAATCGAACTCCCCCAATCTTCCCCCACCCTGATGTGTATAAGAGACAGCCGCAGGCGCGATCAATAGCACGCTCCTCCCTGCTCCGCCGTCGAATCGAACTCCCCCAATCTTCCCCCACCCTCCCGTTCAATTTAGGTGTGAGGAGGAAGAGGAGAACGAAGATGCCTCGTGACACAGGAGGAGAGGGGGCGGAGGCATTCATTCTTATTAGACTCTGTTGAGATAAGGTAGTGCACCTCCTCCTCCTCCCCATCTCCCTCTTTTCTTCGCTGGAAACACCGCGGAAGAGAGGGGGCGGAGGCGACGCTTGGGGACGAGAGAACGAGCGCATTCGTTCACAAAAAAAGCAACGCGGAGGAGGGAGATGGGAATGATGGCTTGCAGTAAGTAGTACATCCAAATGTGCCGTTTGACGAGCAGCAAATCCAAAAGAAGGTCCAAGTCCCCGCAAGAAACGATGTAAAGACCAAAAGAAAGAAAGAAAGAAAGGAGAAGCGCAGGGAACGATATGAACACAGAAGAAGAAAGGGGGGAAACGAGAAGGAAAAGGAATGGCCGGACATGGCGAAAGGGAAGACAAGGAAACCAGCTCCAGCACTCGCCAAATGTGAAAAGGACCAAAACGAAAATGGCGCGTGTAGATTTCCGCATTCTAGGTGACAATAAAAGATTTTATTTATTGACACCAGATTTGGAGAGACATTCATGCAGCCAAGAAGCCTCGAAGGACTTGGGAAAAGGACGGATGGAAAGGAACGAACCGCAGCGAAGGGGAAAGTGAAGGATCGCGAGCTGCCATCGTCGTGGGTTGTGTGAACTTGTGTCTTACAGCGATGGAGAGGTGGCGCGTCTAAGTGATGGTTCGTGGCGGCGTTGCCGTCGTCCGCTTCCTCTTCCTCCTCGTCGTTGTCGACGTCACACCGGACGTTGCTTTCATCAAAACTTTCGGCATCGGTTCCATTCCACACAACCTTGGGCCGCGGGCCAATGTGCCCGCCGGGCAGGGCTGCGGGGTAAAATGGTACACGTGGTTTTCCGTGTGGATAAAGGCGCCATAAACGACGGCGATAGAGTGGATTTCTTTTCCTTTCCCCTCTCCTGCCCCTCTGTTTCTCTGCTTTTTTCTAAATGGGTATCTGGTGGGATTCGAACTCGTAATCTGTTCAGCAGGAGTTACCTGTGGTCTCGTGGCCCCAAAAGTTACAGCACCAGTACCTTTGTCAAGGGCCCGCGGCCGATGCATGGGCCAAGTACTTGTGGTTTGAGCCCCAGGAAGGAAAATTGGGCCTTGCAGGAACCTGTCCTGTAGGGGACTGCAAGAGGTGCGGCTCATGCACCTGGCCGGAGAGGCAACAAAAGAGAAAACGCGTTTGCCCAAGCAGCTCGCGGGATTATGTATGCATTGTCTTCCAAATGGCCCCTCTTTCTAACATGCGACAGGGCTCCACAACATAAACTTCCCCTTTCGGTGGAATAGTGCACAAACCATTATTTTTGAGACAGAGACAGATTCAAGGCTAAGCATGCTCTAGGGTGGATCAAGGCAAAGGCCCCCCTTCTTCGGAGTACTTCGCTCATGTATCAGTCACAGCTGCTCACCACAACTTTCGGATGTCATGAATGCGACGAAGGTCATTGATGAGATGTTTCAACGTTGACACGGCCCCGAAAGTCGTGGCGCGTGAGGACCCCGTCAATGTATGGGCCAAGTACTAGTGGTTTAAAGACGGTTCAGTACATTAAACCCCATTTCCGATTTAGTTGAAAAACACATTGTCGAGTACATCGGCTTCCGCCTTTTTCATAAAGGCGAGAGCCCTCCCGGCCATGTCACGCAGGAGTAAAACCAAAACAGGAGACAACTAAAAAACGATGCAGAATCATCTCGCGAACCACTGAGACGGTCGCGGTTGTGTCGCTCCTTCGCCTCTCTAGTCGGGTGCGCCAACTGTACATCCTGCGGTTCCCTACGACAGAATAAGTTCCCGCGGGGCATAAGTTTTCCTTCCCTAAGGGGCTGTCACCACCCTTAGGGGCATATCCCTATCGAGCTACTGACCTACATGCGAAAGTTTTTAAATTCAATCGCAGTAGTATAGATACGCTTAGTTAACGCCAAGCGAACCCAAACGTCGTCCGTTCCTAGGGCGTTGATCTCCTATGCACGGAGTGAACGCTGGTCGATTAGGACGATCTCAACCAAGCGTGAAACCACAAGGTGATCCTGGTCCCTTGACAACTCTTTGAAAACAAAAACAATAAACTCAATATGCCTTACATAAAAAAATACCAAAGATTAAATTTTTGACTTGATGACCTGGTTTGTCAAAGTTATTATTTTCAATCTATATGACTGAAAAAGCTTTATACATAGTTTTTTCCAAGGCGGAAAACTACTATCAAAGAAAAAAAATCAGGCAAGGTCATCCTAGCATCACACCTACCAAACCTTGCCATAAATAACTTATGCAAATAAATTTCACTACTACCATGCAGATCAACAAGTGATCTGGTTTCTGGACGAAGTTTAAACTCTCGGTTTGACCACATCTCCGCAATTATATACAACTTACTTGGAGGTGCGAATAAATTTTATTGGTCGTTTTGTCCTCCTCAGCAATAATTATTTTTTTCGTTCCCCAAATGATGAAGTATCTATATTGAACATCAGGTTGCTTAACACAAAATTGCAATCGCTATACTTCAAAAAAATATATTTAATCTCTCATTTCTTTCACCACATAACGATCAATGACTTTCTCAGAGGCTCAACATTTTTCATGATTCTGACTTACTGTTCAACCTAAGGAAATTACCTTCCTCATCTCAATAAACTTACCTTTAGCATACATTGTCATGCGTTTGATTACCCCTCAATGCAAAAGTATGATAATTCAATCATCGGGGCAATCCAGATATTATCCACATAGTTGGTCCTATCTACGAAAGATTTTTTTTATTTTTTTTTACCTTTGAAAAGTCATACAAACTATATGACTCTATCAAAGGAACAACCCAACGTGACACCTAAATATTATTAAAGGCACGTCTAGCTGATATAGAGTTGTCGGCCCTCACGGACCTCTGCTTCAATCTGGTCGAGTCGTGCAAACTCTTCGTGGTCAAAAGTCAAGGTGGTAAGGCGTCTAACCCGCATGACCCGAATCACAAACGTATCATAAAAGGAAGTCATCTGTGAGACTAACCTCCAAACTATGGCGCAAAACGGCTACCGCATTCGAAAAAGGTGCCCTGTCGTAGTGTCCCTAATCCGAATGATGTTGTAGCGTTCTCCGAATAGGGTAATTGTAACACTCACAATGATCCGAGAAATACATTGGAGGTTACTCACACGATATAAATACAAAGTATATCCATGAAACTCTTCCGGAAGTCGGGCCACATTGACACGAACATCTGCGCACGAGTCAGGAAAAAACCCTTGTCTATCTTTTAGTAGTCCAACGAAACCAACCCAATGAATGAACATATCATCATGCACAAATAAAAGTCGTTCCGCACGCCAAATCAACTCCTCATCCATATTGTCGTGTACCAGCAGATATCTTGCTTGAGTGAGATGCCGTCGTCTGCTAATTATCTACACACCCGAAGGACTCGTCAGTTAATGAGACGTTCCCAGATCTCACAAACCTCATCATTAAATGTGATGACATGAAAACATTTAGAGCGAAAGATGCTAAGTCTATTCGCTCGTACCCGTCTCACATGATGAAGGAGACTGAATGAACCTTGCTAATCATTTAATCATAGAACAATATAGAGAAACATTCCTCTAATATCAATAATGTTTTCTCTAACTATATTTGCTTCATGAACTACGACGAGATTCATGTCTCCGTGATCTCGTGATGGATTAGGAAACGCAAAATCATACCGCACAATATGTTGTTTATGCTCTATCAAGAAAATATAACTTCGCGGTGGATTACTCACGCTCCCATCCCAAAATATCAGTTCATCTCGCTCCGAAAAAACTTCATGTGGATTATAAACCAAACGTCATTTTCGTATCATACCGGCACGTGATCGTGTCGACACTGCTATCCAATCTATTGTCGTTTCTCACGTACTGAACAATTGAATAATCACCACCCCTGTAGACATCTAGACGACAAAGTAATAACTTTGTCAGAATAAACCTATATATATATACTAATTTCTGTACTCAACCCCCTTTTCTCTTGGGTCGTGATTCTTGTGTTACGGTCCTGGCGCGAAGATGGTGCCTACTTGCACTCCTTTGACACTATTTGAAACATGAACTGGGCTTCTTTTGGCATCAGTTCCCCATACATTGGTGACGCTTAGATGACAAAAATAAATATGTTGAATTCAGTCGTTCCCCACTTGAAAGTATGAGAAAACGACTACCCCCTACTGCACGACATCCTACCCTCCAGAAAGTGATATGGAATACCCCTCCTCCTCGTCCTAACACATTGTTCAGATCTCATAAGTTGGGCTGGCTCCACCGCGATACAGCATGGTATTCTTCCGTTAGACGGTCCACTCCGAGTCAATAACAGGGTCATCTCCTAAAGCAACGAACCCCTGCCCCAGATGCCTCCTAGAGAGAAGGAACCCCGATTACTAAGTGTAGTCATTTCCCTATACTCTGATTGGGGTTTGACTTAGGCGAAAAAAAAAAAAGATAAAGATGAGCACATAGATCTCTTTGGACGTGTACAAAACGAAAGTGTCATTCGGGATAGAACGGGATGTTCCTTGGGAAGACATTAATTTTTTTTTATTTCTTTATGTTCATCTTTCGCGAATTTCATCTTTTTGTCACCTGTCGATTCCTTTTTTTCACTATGTTCTTCTTTGACATGCAGACAAGTAAAAAGTTGAAGAAGAGGTTAATATTTTCATCATTCCTTGAATAAGCAGAGTGTCGATCTCTTCTTACATGTATCCTTTACCTACCTTCACAACAACAAAGAAACATAAAAAAAAAAAAAAATCCATGTCTCAACCAAGTCAGTCCACCTTTCCCACATGCATGACGTCACACACTTTTACTCTACCTTTCCCTGAATCCAAAGCAAGGTCATGCAAAGTGTGGGTTCACACAGGTGTGCAAAGGAAACTAAGTCACAACTGACCTTGGATGAAGTTAAAGACGACTCACTCAAGAAAGCCAAGTATTTCTCTCACGAGAAGATCGGTCGCACAACTCACAAGTTGTGGCCGTCCACAAAATAATCCACGTCCTTTTCAAATGTCACCACCGATACAGGCGTCACTCACTAGGACTAAAGCGAGATAACCCTCAAAGAGGGTGCTCTCACTTACTAGTCCCACGTGGTCCCACCACAGTCCCAACGGCACCTTACCCACCAAGAATAGCCCACCTCAATCACCAGTCCATCCTCCACCAATTACCACGTCTGAACACAAGGTATTCACCAATACATGCTTCGGTCTCAAACCCCAACTCTATCGGTCTCAATATGTACCCCAAGTATCTCCATGTCATCACCGCACTACCAGATGATCCTCCAAAAAAAAACCTGCATCACGACAATTGTCCAGATACAAATGCACCTCCAGCCTCAATACCATGGTGCTCACACCCTAACTGCCACACCGCCAAGTACAGTGCCACCGAAACCACCGCGGAAGATCAAAAAAAAAAATTGTTGGCAAAACCTTTAGTCTTGCCGCTGTCGAGCGCATCAGTCCAGCACCGCACAACGAGGCGGGACCTTCCCCACCGCGTCATACAGGAGTTGGCCTGATCCTTGTCGGGAATACACATGGAGCTTTCGCAAGTCACTCCGGCCGAGTGCGCCAACCATACCTCTCTCGAGCCCCTACGACAGGATAGGGCCTACATGAGTCACGACTTACCTCCACCTTGTGGGAGCTGTCACCTCCCTTCGGTGGGTGTA